TCCTCCTCCTCCTCCTCCTCCTTCCTCCTCCCTCCTCCTCCTCCTCCTCCTCCTCCTCCGCCTCCGCTCCTCCTCTCTCCTCCTCCTCCTCTCCTCCTCCTCCGCCTCCTCCTCCTCCTCCTCCTCCTCCTCCTCCTCCTCCTCCTCCTCCTCCTCCTCCTCCTCCTCCTCCTCCTCCGCCTCCACACGGGAGACTGCACGGGGAGATCATAAGGGAGACCCTCAGATGCCGAGGCTGGCGACGGTCCCCGCGAGAGGCCAGACGGGAGCCCATACAGTCGGCCCTGATTGGACAGGACACCTGAGAGGACACAAGCAAAGGGGCCCAAGGACACACAAATAAATACACACAAATCCAAGGATTCACCATGTTTTCCCGTCTGTTCTGGTTCTTCGTCTTCCCCCCCCCACTTCCCATACTCTCCCATATGTTCCTGGGAATCGGCGATGAATTGTCTGTGTGCTTCTTCCCCTCCTGAACAGGACCCTTCCGAGGGCCACGTGGCCACAGGAACATTGGAGGCGTGCGTCGTGGAGCACAGGACGCAAAGCTGCCCTCGACCTGGCAGGGTCGACCTACTGCTCGGGGCCGACTGCACGGGAGACCATCGAGTCACCGACGTCCCCGAGTCCAGCCACGGCACCCCCAGCCCTTCTCGCGAGCCAAAAAAAGAGATAGCCTTTGCAGTCAAGTCGGGCCCGCTCCCCTGCAGGCCGATGTTGGACGAAATATTACCACAAATACTTTGTTTTTTTTGTTTTTTTTTTTGAGAAAAAAAACCCAGACTATGTTTTGACTATGCTTGACTATTCCCCCTGTGGAGGGACAGGCCCGACTTCCCATTACAGACAGGCTGCACGCGGAATCGCGACGCATCGCGTCGTGAGTCGTGGCCGGAGCTCCCGAGCTGACCCCTGATTGCACAGGGGGGACGGACCGACACGGCCTGCCGTGGAAAATCGGGCCTCGTGGGGCCCCCTTGGGCCGCGGCCCCGCGGAATACACGTCGGTCGGAAGAAGTAGGTAAAAACATGAAGTAGGAAGGCGGATTAAGTTGATTGGGTCCAGGCCCCTCCAGAGAATAAAAAACACAGCAAGAGCATGTCGATTCTTGACGTAGGAAGGCGCTTGAAGTAGATTGGGATCTAAGAATCCAAGAATACCTACTTTTCACGACCGGCGTGTACTGGCGCACTTCCACGGACTCCCCGCGGCACGTATCCGTGCGACCGCGTGCCCGCGGGAGCGCGCCCCAGCATCCAGACCGCGCGGGCGCGGACGCGGCTGCGGGCGCCGCGCGCGGGGCACGCGTGAGCCCGCGGGAACCCCCCGCCCCGACGGGGCACCTCCCGGCACGCCGCGAGGGCACGGGCGACGGGGCAGTCGGGCGCCCGCCGCGGCCTCGCGAGAGGACACGCCCGGAGTGAAGGGGCTCCAGGACACACAAACAAATACTCACAAATAGAAAGATTCCCCGTATTTCCCATATTTTCTGGGGTTTTGTCTTCCCCCCCCACTTCGCATATTTTCCTATATTTTCTGGGGGATCGACGATTCATTGTGTCTGTGTGTTCTTGTTCCGTCCCGACGGAGGTCGGGGCCCACCCGTCGGGCGTGCCGGACGCGCCCGCGGGGATCTCCAGAGGGGCCCGCGGGGGACGGCCCCGCAGGCCCCGGGCGGCTCCGGGAGGGCACGAAGAGCGGGGGGCCGCCCTGGGCCAGGAAGACGTCTCGCGGGCCCGAGCACAGCCTCGGCCTCGAGCGGGGGGCGGCGCGCGCGCGGGCGCGCGCGCGGTCCCCCACGGGGGTCGCCACGAGCACGCCCTGGCTGGTGACGCCGCCCTTCATCCGGGAGCGGTTATCCTGATGCTCCCCCCTCCTCGCTCTCCGCGGTCCCCTGCCCCAACATCCTCCTCCTCCTCCTCCTCCTCCTCCTCCTCCTCCTCCTCCTCCTCCTCCTCCCCCTCCTCCCCCTCCTCCTCCTCCCCCTCTTCCTCCTCCTCCTCCTCCTCCTCCTTGCAACGAGCGTGATAACCGTGATCAAATCTAACACCGAAGTGTTTTACCAGGCCGTCTAGATGATGCAGCAAACCCTCCCTAGCGGTCCGAATCACACCGAGCTTTCTGACTAGGATGACCCCTGCCCCTCTGGCCTTAAGAGGTCCGCGAAATTCCCTTCTTAATGCGCGTTGTTTCTTGTAACGGGATCTACGCTATCGACATAGTTATGAACTTCCCGCACGAAGGCTCACCGGGTCTGCTCTGGCCTTGAGCCACAAACAATAACGGCACGCATAAACGAGCCGTTGCGCGTACACGCAATATGAAACAGTAGATGCATGCCACGACTGTCACTACTTACGACCCCAAGACCGCAAGTGCTCCAGCCGCCGCCATCGGAAGTAAGGGGGGTCGAAAGTCGCACTCCAAAGGGAACGTGCCAGTCTCTAACTTGGCTCGGCTTGCTGAGGTATCGCAAGCAAAATCGCTCACCTTGGTCACTTTACTTTCCACTGCGCCATGCGACAGATTTCGCGCGCCCGAAATTCATCCGACGGAGGCAAACAGCATTCTGCTCTTCTGGCACGCGACAAGGCCCGCGCGCAGAGGATGGTGGCCCGAGGCAAGCGGCCTTCGGCCCTTTCTCGAGCACGCGACGAGGCTCGCGCAAACGTGGAGTTGGACGGAAGCACACACCCTTCCGCCCCCTACCTCTGAGCCAGCCCGGCGTCACAGGCACTTCGCCGAGCACCGAGCACCGAGCCCGCAGCCCTGGCCTGACCGCCTGCGGACCGCGGCAGCCTAAAGTCTCGGGCGCAGGCCAAACGCCATGAGCCCCATCACGGCTACGGACCTTCCAGGCAGCGGCCTCCACCCGGGCAGCCCTGCCCCGGTTTGCCCTCCAGCTCCACAGAGTGGAGCGCGTGGGCCGGCAAAAGCGCGCGCTTTCCAAGCGCACGAAAGCAAGGCCCGTGACAGACAGTGCGTAGCCTCCTTTTCTGTGCATTGATATATATATATATATATATATATATATATATACATACATACATAAACATAAACATATCCATATACATATATACGAATATGAATATTATCTCTCTCCCTTTCTCTCTCTCTCTCTCTCTCTCGTTCTCTCTTTCTCTCTCTTTCTCTCTCTTTAACTCTCTCTCTCTCTCTCCCTCTCACTCACTCTCTCTCTCTCTCTCAGAAGAGACCCTCCAGCTCTCCTGGCTCACTCGGATACTCCTGGAGCAGGGCGCACCCTCTGGAGGCCCCAGGTCCCCCTTGACTGCTCCTCGCAGGAACCATAACGGCGTTCTGCGCCAGTCGTCTTCCTCCTCGTCTCGCACTCCGCGCGCGGTTTTCGCCTGACCGCCCCGTTCGATGGTCAGCTCAGACGCTCGGGCCTGCATGTCCGCGAGCGCCACGCGCGTCGCTGCCTCACGAAGCGCTTCTTTCAAATGTTCCTTCTGTCGCGCCACTTCACCGCTGGGCTCGAGAGCAAGTCCAGACTCCTCGCTACTCCCTCTATAGCTCCAACCCAGTTTACTGACCCAGCCAACAACATCGGGGCTACAGACGAGAAATTATGAAGGACCCCCCCCCTTGGCGCCATCCGTAGCTTCGCACCGTTATGGATTACATCCAGGGGGCACTTCACCGAACGACACCACTAACACCGCGCGGAATCGTATTAAAAAAAACATATTACCCAAAGACAAACGCTTGCGACGCGTTAACAATATCACGATTGTCTTAAGATTTGTTCACGATTTCCGGCTGGATCTCGGCGAGTCTCGTCTGTCTGAGCGAAGAGAGGACTGGGCTGCTGTCGGGGCAGCAGAATGCTGAACACAGAGAGCACATCCAGCGAACTGGTGGGAGGCTTCGTCTTTCGACCTCCCCCGAGAAGCTCGACGCCGCACCCGCGCCCCGAGGTCCCTCGCGGGCCCGCCCGCCGGGGGGTCGCGGGGGCGGCGCGCCGCCACGGCGTCGCTGAGGGAGGCGCACTCCCTAGGAATCTTATACACCTCCTAGGAAATCCTCGGGAACTCTGGAGATTCCCATCGATGTCCGAAGGAGTCCGACGGATTCCTTAGGAATCCGATACACTTCCTAGGAAATCCGATCCTATGGACCTCCGAGGACTCCCATCGATTCCTGGAGGAGTCCTGTGGAGTTCTGAGGGATCCCGTGGGGAATCCACAGGGCCCCGACGGCCCCGAGATCTTGCGCTCGGGGGGTCCCCGCGGAGGCCCTTCCTCATCCCAGGCCGGGCCTGTCCCCCTACAGGGGGAATGTTGAGCGAAAAATTGAAAATACTCAAAAAATACACCATTTAACAAAAAACAAACCAAAACAAAAAAAAACAAAAACAAACAAAACAAAAAAAAAAAAAAAAAAAAAAAACGCAAGCGGCGCGCGGGGCCCCCGCGCCCTCACCTGACCTCCCTGTAGAGGGCCAGGCCAGCTCCACCCGGCGGGGCCCCGCCCCCGCGGCGGAGGCCCGCGGCGGGGCCTCGCCTCGACGGGGCGCCGTCGGCCCTCGACGGGGCGCCCCCCTTCGGCGATGCACCCGGGGGGTCGGCGCCATGGAAAAAGCATGGCGTCCCGCGTCTGGGTCGCGAGGCTGCCCGGGCCCGGCCTGCCCCGGGGGCCGGCCGCGGCCGCCTCTGGCGTCGCGCCCGCGGCGGCGCCCAGCCTCGGCGTTCAAGATTCGAGCTCCCCAGCTGGGCCGTGGAGAGCGGCAACGCTGAGGGTATCCATGGTGGCAGTACCGTGCTGTGCTGCGCTGTGCCAGGGGCTGTGCCAGGGGCTGTGCTGTGCTGTGCTGCGCCGTGCCATGCTGAGCCGTGCTGCGCTGTGCTGTGCTGAACTGTGCTGTTCTGTGCTCTGCCGCACTCTGCTGCAATGCGGCTCCTGTCGTCATTGGCGTCCGTATCTTGACCGGACTGATCTGGCCCGAGCTGCCTGAACGCATGGCTCGCCCAGGTCT